ACATCTTAGATTTTCCCTGCCTTTACAAAATTTCTGATGCCTCAGATTGTGAGACAGTGGGTCTTTGCCAATTAGTAAACCTTCGCCACTAATTCATCACTACATTTGGGCCAAAGAAAGGAGGGAAGTGGAACAATTTTAAATTTACCGTGATCTTTGAGACAGCTTTATGTACGCCTGGGAATTGCTGTTAGACAATTAAGGTTAGGAAAGCTCATTGAATCTCTCAGAGGAAAGGTGTTATTTGAATTATTACCAGATAATTATTGTTAAAAATAACAATAATGTAAAAAATAGGAACTTTGCATGTTAGAGACATTATCATTTTAATTTCCAGTAAGGGGTACAAGAGCCCTGGGGGATCTAGGAACAATTTTTTTTTCTTCACATTGTGCTCTATGCCAGAAACTCCTTGAATTCTGTCTAATGCCTGATGACCTGACAAACTGGCCCAGAATCAGAAGCCAGTCGTGCCGTGTGAGCTGTTAGCCAAGTTATTCAGCTTCAGTTGCTCCTTCGAAAACTGTAGGAAGGCAAGTGTCAGACATAAGACCTGTGGTACCCAGACCAGTGTCATCAGTATCACCTGGGAATTTTCTAGAAATGCAGAATCACAGACTCCATCCCAGACATGCTGAATCAGAAATCCTGCATGATTCATTTGTTCGTTAGAGCCTGAGAAGACCGATAAAAGATGTTTTCATCATCAAACAGAAAGGAGTTAGGAAGGAGCTCTACTTACTGATTCTGAAAGAGTTCCTTCACCTGAGGTCTGTGCTCACAGTCTGAATCATCATGGAAATAGCATAAGCCTCTTTCTTGTGCTGAGGTCACAGTGGGAACTAGAAATGTGTCATGCTGTGTTGGAGCAGTTGTTGAATGGTAAGAAAAAAAAACAAAAAACAAAAAACAAAACCAATCCCCTCCCAGACTTAAAGTCAGAGAGATCTGGCTCAGATCTGACCTTGAATTCTGACCTCACTATGGATTCTTGAGCTCTCTTAGTCTTACTTTTCCTCATCTGTAAAATGGGCACGCCAATACCTCTAGCACCAGCACGACATTGCTATGAGATTTCAGTGAGAATGTATTTACATTCTCATACAAAAATTCCCCTGTGGAGTCCCCGACAAAATGCAGCTATCTAACAAATGGTAGTATTGTGGTTACTATTACCTTTTCCGTAAGCTTTAAAAAATTTGGTGTGATTTCCGAAGAATGGAAAGAGCCACACTGAAATGAGACCTCCACAGAAAATTCCTTGCAGTAATGTGTGGCAGTGTGTTACATAACAGCTCTGCTCTCTGAGGGCTTCCAAAAGAGAGCTGCAGAGACGTCAACATTAAAACAGACTGGATTGGAAGTGACCCACTGTCTCCTCTGCCTCTGACACCATCAAGAGTGTTGCCAGCTGGGATCCAAGAGCAGATTCTTTATTACATGATGATGTAAGAGGCAGAGAGAACAGCTGGCTTTCCAGACTCTGGAAAGAATGTGTAGCCCCAGCAGCCTCTCAGAATTATCTTTTCACTTAAAAACTGTGTACATTGGGTATAGAAGTCATTGCAATAGAATAAATACGAACCCTCATGAAGTCATTTTCACGAAGTCTTTTTTAGAGCATACACACCCTTTAAGCAATAAAACATGACACACTAGGCAGTAGTTCTGATTAATAGACCCCTAGGTGTGTGCTGAGGCAGGCGGGGAAGTAAGGAGAGGGGGAGAGGTGACCGTTTGCCAAAAAATGAAAGGCAGATTACAGCAGCAGGATGTGGGGCTGGGAAGGAGTTTGATTAAAGGGCAGAAAGATTATGTCTCCATTTAATTATAAAATGCGCAATTTAAACCAAATGTTAGGCATATTTAAAATGTACACTTCTCTAATTACACAATGGATTTGTATGCTTCCAGGTGATTTTTCATTGCAAGATACTAGACATATCGGTCAGCGATACCCTTTATCATTTTAATGGAGTTGCCAGGGGGAGAAAAGAGAAGGAAGCTGTGTCTGCTGAGGTGTCGATAACCTGTCCAGCCATAGGACGGTGTAGTAAGAACTATATAGAGAGAGCTCTTGAGCCCCGTTTGCTGTTTATATGGCCACTGGGGTGTTCCTGTTGAATGGATGTCTCAGTGCATAGCATGGTTCCCCACACTGGCCAGAAAGAATCTGATTGATAGTACCAAGCTTTTCGTCTGGTGAGTAACAATAAGGAAGTACTCGCCTGGGAGAGGCAGATGAAGTCTTACAGCACTGGAGGCTAACATGTAAGAGCTGAGCTTTTCTGGCCAAGTAAACACTACGGAGATTCCCTAGAAACGTTGCCATTATCCCCATGTTTTCTGGGGCGGGGTGGGGGGGCGTGGTTCATCTTTGGGTGAGAGGAAAGGATTCTGTTTGAGGGTGAGGCTAGAAAGGAGATTAAACAATGAGTACTTTTATCCTGAGAGAAAAAGAAGGGAAGAAAGTTGGGAGACTTGGGAGCACTCGTCTGGACATTTCCACAAATAAATTGGTGATACGGTGAAAGAAAACTCTGTGAAAATTTAAACAAACTTACAGGATCAATCCCATGCAGAGCTAGGTGGAGAAGACGCATGGCTGTGGGTTGCCTCATAGCCACATCACCAATGGCCTCAGTTTCTACGAGGTCAGAATTTAACCATAGAATTACTGTGGCATGTTCTCCCCAAGAACTTTAGCTGAACCTGCTGCTTTTTTAAAGCGTGAGAGATTCCTTCATCCCGGTTTTCACCCTTAGTTTGTCACCCTGGTGGCATTTGCAATATTGTATTGTTTCTGCTGATGGTGTTAGAAAGGTTCGATTCCTTGTTCTTTAAATCCCCCCCCCTCATTTTCTGACATTATTTATCTATAAAAGGTTAATTATTATTTCGGTTTACTGAAATGAATCAGTGAAACAAACTTCTTTATCTTTTGGAACCCAGTGTATCCTTGCTGGCTGTGCACCCCGTGAACCCCTCACTCTCTCTGGTCTGGTGACTGTGGATGATCTGCTGGGCCTGTTGGTGCGGAGCAAGCACTGACAGATATTTAAAGATCTGTGACCTTTTCTATCAGGTATTGCTGCTTGGCCAGGAGCAAGGATGTGACCTTGAGCGAGTCAGTTCCCTTAATCTCATCTGAAAAATGAGAGGCGATGAGCTTTCAGGTCTTTCCAATTCAGTCTCGTTTCCATGACTCTAAGCAAGAATCTTGATTCCTTTTAACTTTGGTTCAGCAGACATCAGCCAAGTGCAAATCTCTGCGCAAGGCATTGCCTACTGTAGGGCAGTAAAACTTGTCTCTGCTTCCTAGGAGCTTGTAGGGGGCAGGGCACATTACACAAACAATTATTAGAGTCCATAGAACATGCAAAGGGAGTAGGGCAGAAAGTGCTTAAGGACTCAGCTAGGGCGCTTTCCTTGGGGCGAGGCTTCCTAATCGAGGTGGCATTTGGATGGGAAGGAGTGGGACTTCACTGCAGTGTGGGATGGGCTGTAAAGAGGGAAAATTAGACTGGGTCTGTATTGTAGGGGCCTTGAATGCCAAACTGAGAAATCAGAATTTAGTCCAGTAGGCAAAGAGCAAAGGAATGATATGTTTAGAGTGGTACTTAAGAAAAATTAGTGTGGTATTGGTGTGAAGGATGGGCTAAAGGTAAAAAAGAACCTGGAAGAACTGAAGCCATTGGAAGGCTCTCACAAAAGTCCTGGCACAGGTGACTAAAGGATAAATGGGTGCTGGGAGAGAAAGGAAGCACAGCCTCCAGTGTCTTAGCAGCTGATTGGCTATGAGAAGCAAAAGAAAAGGAGGAACTGAAAATGATTCCTCCATTGTAGGACCAAGTAACTGGGTGAAGACGGCAGGAAATAGACCATGGCAGGAAATGGGAACATATTTTGAGGGAGAGACAAAGATTTCTGTCTTAAACTTTCTGAATTAGAAGTGTCTGTGTGGTATTTGATGGAGGTATGACCTTCTCAGAGTTAAAGGCCCTGTCTTATTCATCTTTTCCAGGTGCCTGATAGATACTATGCAAACACTGAATGAATGAATCAATGAATGAATGAATGAGCAAATAAGTGAATGAACCGATAACCAGAGGTTATTAAGATGTGGATGTGGAGCTCTGCAGACAAGCAGGAACTAAAGATAGCCACGTGGGTGTTCTCTATGGAGAAGTAATTGTTGAGGTCATGCAGGGTGGGTGTAGGCAAAGATTGAGAAGAGAGTCTTGAGGAATATCTACATTTATGGAACGGGAGAATGAAGATGAGCCAGTAAAGGAGGCAGAGGAGAGAGTCAACTGGTGGAAGGAAAGTCAGGATGATGTGGGGTTCCAGGGAGAAGGGAGGACAGTTTCAGGACTAATGTGGTCATCGGTATGGGGGCTCGGTGTAGCCAAAAGGGCAAGGTCTGGGTAGGGACCTCTGGGTGCGAGGCTGGAGACAGACAGAGGTCAGTCCTGCAGCCCCTAAGGCTGAGCACCATGTGTTAGAGGACAGGGGAAATGGCAGAGGCTTTATAGTGAGGGGCCGAGGTGCGACAGGAACTCAGAACGTGGCCAGGTCCATGGTGCTTTCAGAGCAGGTAAGAACTGGGCAGAAGAGGAGGAGGAGCACCAGCAGAGTGGAGAACACCAGCAGAAGCATCGGCTGTGACAAGGTTGAAGGACAGTGCCCCCTACCCCCACCCTCCACCTTAGCTTCCATCTTCCCACCACAAAATCCACTCTGTCATCCGCACATACAGGGTGCTGTGGAAGGTCTCAGACCACCCCACCATCAGGTGGGCATGCTGAGAAGGGAGACTGGGTGACATCCTCTCTTCTGCCTCGGCCTCCCCTGGCCGGCCGCTGTCTGGTGCAAAGGGGCAGGACCGGACTCTTCCCCCAGGTCCCACGGTTCTGTCTCCATCAGCGTGACTGACCACCATCACCTGTCATTTAACGGCCTTATCTTTCTTCCTTGTCTGCTCTAGATGCAGCCGCTCTCTGTTCCCTGCCCCAATGAACATCTGCACTAGGCCCAAGCCTTGGAGTGATTTACCTGAAGAGTGACACCATTTATTTGGAAACTACTGTGAGTACATTATGCCTCCAATGAAAGCCTTCTTAACTCACTTAGTTTAATTAAAAAAACAAAACAAAAAAAACCTCACACAATTATAAATGCAGATGCCATTCTAGATGGCCTTGTGTCTTGACCACAGTGAGGTCACAAGGCTCAGTGCTGAGGTGCCTGCAGTGGTCCTCAGCTGCCAGCCGGCAGCTCCGCCCTGAGCAGCAACGTGCCCTCCTCGCCAGATGGCCGCGTGGGCCAGATCCGGGCCCACCTCACGGGTTCCGGCACTGTTCTGCTTCATTGTCTGCACCCTCGCCGGAAGTGGTGGCAGCTCCCACCCTCCTCTCTTGGCCCCTTGTCACCTTCTGTGCCACTCTATTGAATCTCACCGCAACTTGTCATTTCATGCCACCCTGCCCAGGTCCAGGGGCCAAGCTTTCCTCCTTGGCATTTGCCTGTTGTCTGAGTTGCATCTCTGAGCCAATGCTGTTGCCTCCTTGCTACTTTAGGGGGGCCAAGCTTCCCTGGGGACTCCGGGTCGCATCTCTCACCCATTGCTTCCAGCTCCGCCCTGCCCTCTAGATGCACGGCTCTGTGCGTGTGGTTGAGTTCCCTCTGTGCCGGGCATTTATGTCAGAGAAGTACAGCCCTTACAAGGCAAGGTGCACAAATAGGTTGGAATAGGAGGCATGACGTCTACATGACAATACTTATGAGAGATTGGTATCACGTATTCATTAACCATTGCTAAAAGTAACAAATGAAGAGATGCTTTTTTTTCTTTTATGCAAAAGCCAGAAAGTTAAATTATTTAGAGGCTATGCATGCAAAATAACTTCATTATACATTTTAAGACAAAACCTCTTTTTAGTTGTAGTCTCAAGTTTTCCTATATACGGTATGAGGCGGGTCATGGGGTGGTTTTTATAGACCTCTCTGTTACTGGAAAACGCTAACCCTGGGAGAGAACCATCCCTGTTAGGCTTTTGGGTAGGATTTTCACATTCGTATTTTCCGTGTCTTTAGCTATTCGGGCATAAATCATAGCCAAAGGGAATGTTTTGTTTTGCATTGCTGTTCTCCTTTCATGCTTTTAGTCAACTGCATTGTAATCAGTAGCAGTGGGGAGACGGGGCCACCAGAGTAATCTGCAGTACTACTGGGTTCAAGGGACCGGGGACTAAAGACACGATGGAAGATCAAAAATAGTTTCTCCATACCCAGGCAAGGAACTTGCTTGTGTAGACACCATCATTCATCCTCAAGTTGAAGTGCATGGAGTGCCTTAGACATTCCCATGTCTGGATGGTTTTCTGGGTTTCTCTGCATTATGTGCAACTAGGCTGGGGGCAAGTAGCACAGCTGAGCTAGGGTGCAGCCAGGGTTCCCAGGGTCTGTAGCCTCTGGAAGAGGCAAGTCTTTACTGCCCCTACCTTCCTGCAGAGAACTGAAATCCAGACCCAGGAATCAGGACCTACAGTTTCCTGAAAATCATGGAGAGGCCCACCAGTGAGCATCTGTTTCAGCCCTAGGAAGCATTTAACCTGTGCCCAACCCCAGGGCCTGCTTTCAGGCTCCACAGGTCCTACCAAGGACAGACAGGGCTCTAAAGGTTGTAGGCTCTGCTTTTCAGAAACTCAGCCCTCTCCTATATAAAGAAGAAACAACAGTAAAGTTTCCACACTTGCTAAGTACAAAACCAGTAAGGCGAATAAACTATAAAAATGTGGACTAATCGGGGCACCTGGGTGGCTCAGTGGGTTAAAGCCTCTGCCTTCGGCTCAGGTCATGATCCCAGGATCCTGGGATCGAGCCCCACATTGGGCTCTCTGCTTGGCAGGGAGCCTGCTTCCCTCTCTCTCTCTCTGCCTGCCTCTCTGCCTACTTGTGATCTCTCTGTCAAATAAATAAAATAAAAAAAAAAATGTGGACTAATTACACAAATGTTTCCTTCCTGTGTGTAAGCAGTGCCCCGGACCAGGTCTCAAGGCTTAGGGATGGGAAGGGAGGGGACAAGTGTTAGATTTTAAAACCTACCGGCTCCCACATCACTTACACAACTGTGCTCAGCAGCCCTGCCTACTTAATCTGGATAGTAGTGATAATTAAATGAGATAATATGCATATAATGTCTGGCATAGCAGAAGTGAATATATTTACTTGAACAACTGAAATTCACTGGGCATATTCCTTTGTGTCAGACACTGTTCTGGGGACTAGGGATGTGGCTGCTAACAAAACACACAAAAATCCCTGCTCTCACAGAGCCCACGTTCAGCTTTCTTCCCCCATAAACGGCAAATAGACAAAATAGGTACATAGATGCTAAGAGAACTAACTTCACTTCATTTTGCCCTGTCTTGCTTTCCAGAACATAAAACTGAGAGGGGAGGGTGAAGGAAATGGAGAAGGGAAAGAAGAGGTCCACTGATTCGTCTCCCCTCTACACAAACACAAAACCCTGAAGCCCTTCTCTGCCCTGATATGTGGCCCAGGAGGCCAGCCTCTCTGGACTGCACTCCTAGGCTGTCTCCCACTCAGGCTCCCCTTTGAATGTGGCCTAGAGGAACATCAGCAAAGGATGTGTGAGTAGGAGGAGAGTGAGGGCAGGCTGTTGATTTGTCCAGCCCCCTTCCTAACTGCAATTCTGACTGAACTCAGAGAACACCTCTCCTTCCTTGCCCCTTGGAGGTAACAGTTGGAAGCTGACTTTCACAGCTTTCCACCGCTGCTAGCCCCGGTGCTTCAGTCTCCCTTGGGCACCCGGCCACCTCCTCTGTACCTCACTATACAGTCCTTATATTAAACTCTCTCCAGCTAAAACCTTGGAGCGTGCCAGCTGTTTCTTGCCAGGATCCTGACGGTTACAGCAAGGGAGAAAAACACCAAAACACATTATAAATTGGCCTTGCTGAGAAGGTTAAAAAATTTGAAAGAATAAAATGTTTTAATTACAAAAACATCTTAAATTGATCTGAGAACATTAGACCAAATAGTAAAAGGATAAATTGTGAGGAGAACATGATAAGCAAGAGTGCCAAAGGTTGGCTTTGACACATAGACCGTAGTCCCAGGTTTGGTGAGCTTCTGCGGCCCAAGTGTATATTGCTTGACCCTCAAGTTCGAGAGAGGTTCTTGGGGTAGTAACAGCAATGACACCGTGAGTAGAAAGACCGTGTCAGGAGGGTGATACGGTAAGATCAGAGTGTCGAAGAAGAGATTGCTTATCCTTACACTCTTTCTACCTGTGCTACAGTGACAGTCCATTTCCCCCTGCTGAAGTCTAGACAATTAAAAAGATCACTAAGGTCGGGGAAGTGGCTCCTTAGAGCTGACAAAAACTGTGGAACTGATGCTCTCTCAGAGTTACCATCATTGAGTACTGGCCCTGCGCCATGGCTCTGCCCGTCGGTTGACATGAATTATCTCATTTATATACCTACCAACTCAGTAATACCTACCAGCCCAAGGAGGTAGGTATAATTACCCCATTATTTCCACTAAGGCCCAGAGAAGCACAGTAATCTGCCTAGGACACACAGCTACTTGATGGTAGAGTTGGGTTCTATTGGGGGGTGGAGGGTTGTTACACCTCTGCTCTCTTCTCCGCCCCCCCCCAAAACACACTCCTGAGCCTTTTCAATATTTTGTTGGGAAAGAGAATAAAGAAGTGGTTACCATTCAAAAAAAAAAAAAAAATTGGAGGGGAGGGCATCGTGGATCTAGATTGTCATGATTCAATGACTGAGTAATTATTTATCAAAAGGAGGTTCTGACTAATTCTTTCTTATCCAACAGGCTGATAAGTGGAAGGCATGTTAATGTGCAGGAGAGGTGGGGGTGGAGGGCAGTGAAGAGAGAAAATTGGGAGAGGGAGATAGAAGAGAGCACTCTCCTCCCAACAGCCCCAGGAGCCTGATAAGAGCTCACACAGATAAAATATTTATTTTCCATATGTTGCAGAAAGCACTGCCATCACTGTATGTGTGCAATATGTGCAAAGAAGTGTGAGATATATACATCAAATGCCACCGATCTGGTTAATTTCCACGCATTTAACATGCCTAATACCTACCATCTCATCAATATGTTTCAATGCATATTTCTTTCCACATGCAATATGTCTAGGAAGGAAGGAGCCAACATCATCCACAACCTCACTCACTGCTATGTTTCAGCCCAAAACTTGTTGCCAGGACCAGCACAATGAGAGTTAAAAACCAGCCACCAGTCACCTTAAAACGCCTTTCCAGCTCTTGAAGCAGCCCTTTTTCTCTTATAAGAGAGATGTTTGCAGTGGGGAGATGAGAATGTTTTTGTTCTCTTCGGACAATTGGGAGATATTCAGGGAGAATGTCAGAACTGACCGTTGAAAGGCAGGTGCCTGGAGCCACACTTTTTTTTTTTTTTTTTGAATGCGGGGCCCCTCAGTGTGGCGGGAGGAAGTGCACAATGATTGGTCTGTTTCTCTGTGGAAGTGTTCAGGGTACACCCAGTTTTGCTTTGCATATATTTACGAAACATCTGCCCTTTTCTTGTTCTTGAATCCTTCCCCCTCACCAGCCCCCTTTCCCCTTTCTCCCGGTTTCTTTCTTTGTTGTTGTTGGCTTGTCTAACTTTTTCATTGGAGCTTTCATTTTCCGGTTGAGGGGCGACTTCATCTGAGTGTATAATTTTAACATTGAGGGAGGGAGGGAGAGAGGGAGGTAAGAGAGACAGAGAGAGGGAGAGAGAGAGGGAGAGAGAGAATGAGAACTGAAAAGAAAAAAAAAGAGGCTGAGCGGCCAGAGCTTGGCAAACCAACCTTTGGCATGGTGACCGGGAGGAAGGTTCTGGTCTGTCAGAGTTTGCCTCTCTGCCGTGCCACCCAGAGTAGCCGGTGTGCTGCTGCCCTCTAAAGGCTCCAGGGAATAATGCGTAGCCACAGAGGCTTGGACAGACTTGCCCTCAGATGTGCCCTGTTTATGTAATTCTTTTTGCACAACCAAAGAAGGTATTTTCAATTAATTACTACAGGCCTTGCTTTTTCTCCTTAATAAACTATGAACTGCAAAAACGGGGTCAGCATAACAGCACCTGTGCACGTCTAGACAGACTGGGGCTGTGTTTCTGTGTTTCTCAGCACCAGAAAAAGGAGTCCTACAGAACTATCGGAGAGGGTGAGATGGGAAATGATTGCTTCTAAGGACAGTCAGTGGCTCTGTGTCATCTGTGTAGTTGGGAAAAACCCAGTGGTATCAGGATAAGCAAATGAGGGGGTGAGCCGGAAGGTTGATTTTCAATATTTTCATTTTGTGGGGGTGGCTTCCAGTGCATCTGTATTGTCATAGGTGATCCTTGGGACAACCAGGAGGAGGGTGTGGTGTAAGACGCCGGGTAGGAAGCAGGATCAAATCTAGGGAAGGAAGCAAGGGCATTTATATAAAGAATAGTACCATTTTTGCAGTGTTAAAAGAGTAATGCTGGTTGTTTGGTCATGTACTCATGTCTGAAAGAGAGCTTTTTCAATTTCCTGAAACACAAATCCCAGACTAGCTGAGGCCTTGTCTATAAGCATCAGAAATAAATGTTAAAAAAAAAAAGAGAGAGAGAGAGAAAGAAATAGTTTTTCTGTTAAGTCATATCTACCATTAGTACTTCATCCTGATATTTAACAGACTCATGAGGACCAGTCCAGTTTTGTTGAGCAAAATGGTCCTACTCTTGGGGCGCCTGGATAGCTCAGATGGTTAAGCGTCTGCCTTCAGCTCAGGTCCTGGGATCCAGTCCCACATTGGGCTCCCTGCTCAGCAGGGAGTCTGCGTCTCCCTCTCACTCTCCCTTTGTGCTCTCACACTCTATCTCTCTCTCTCAAATAAAAACAAAACAAAAGAATAGAAAAACGTAATTGGGATTTAGATGATGACTATTCTCTAAATACACCTTTATTTCAATCCCACTTCACTCCATCAACAAACGAATGTTGAATGACAGCTTTGTTGAAGCCACTCTGCTTAACAGTCCTCACTAGAGAACAAATTCGGGGAGGAAAGCAACAAGGCTTGCTGCGTTTCCTAACCTATGCCAGCACACTAGAGGTGCATGATGTTTTAAATATGTGAATAGATGAATGGTGGGAGGGAAGGAGGAAGGAAAGAAAGGATGAACACAGGGAATTAAAAAATAACCAAGACGTTTTCTCTCAGAGAATTTACAGTCTCATGAGAGGTATCACCACATAAATAACTATCATTGAAACAATTTAGCAGGTAAAATAGGGAGAAGTAAATTTGGGGGGGGTGGGGAATTTCAGAGAAAGGTGGAACAGAGTTCAGTTTCAGAGAGAGAGAGACCTTCTATCTGGTAGAGGTAAATCAAGACGGTTACAAGATAGAGACAACCTTTAATAGCAAGAAGGGTAAATATGATTTCCACAGAGTTGTAAAATGGACATTCAAAGCAAGGGAACTAACTTGAACAAAGATGGAGAGCCAAGGATATAGATACCCCAAGACATTCTGAGAATTTTCACAAACTTTGAGAGTCCTGTGTGGCCAACACTTAGCTAGAGCACATATAGAACTCATTTGGGGTACTGGGCTAACCTGGTTTTCTCAAAGGGGTCAAGGAGGATAGAGAGCCAATAAATAAACAACAGTCTAAATAAAACTGTTAAGGTGATAGTGGTGAAAATGGAAAGGAAAAACGGATGTGAAAAAATACGAAGGAAACAGAATTGTCAGGACTTGATGAGTTTTTAAAACTTTTTTTTTTTTTAAAGATTTTATTTATTTATTTGTCAGAGAGAGAGTGAGCACAGGCAGACAGAATGGCAGGCAGAGGCAGAGGGAGAAGCAGGCTCCCTGACGAGCAAGGAGCCCGATGTGGGACTCGATCCCAGGACACTGGGATCATGACCTGAGCCGAAGGCAGCTGCTTAACCAACTGAGCCACCCAGGCGTCCCAGGACTTAATGAGTTTTAAGGCAGGGAAAGCTGTTGCTCACCTGTGGTTTCCACCCTGATGACAAAGCGGGTGATAGATGACAGTGATGGAAATAGGGAGGGGCCTGGGGGGGGGCACTGATTTCCAAGGATAAAAAGCAGTTGAGCTTTGGAGACTTTATTTTTTTTTTTTTTAAAGATTTTATTTATTTTTTTGACAGAGAGATAGATCACAAGTAGGCAGAGAGGCAGTCAGAGAGAGAGGAGGAAGCAGGCTCCCCACTGAGCAGAGAGCCCGATGCGGGCCTTGATCCCAGGACTCTGGGACCATGACCTGAGCCTAAGCTGGAGGCTTTAAGCCACTGAGCCACCCAGGCACCCAAGCTTTGGAGACTTTAGTCTGGTATATAATCCAGGGCCTTGTAGACAGGTCCCTGACCCTGTCCCTGTACACACTCAAGACTTGGGGGTCGGTTCCATAGTCACCCAACCAACAAACGGTTGGTAAAGCATTGCAATTTGTTGCTTCTCTTATATTGGCCTACTCCATACTGAAAAATGTGTCTGAAAGCTTCCCCCTCTCTCTTCATCTTTACCATGCCATCTCTGCCTCCTGCCCTCTGAAAAAGCAGATTTGATTTCACAACCCGTTGGACCAGAAACACAGCATGCTAATCACAGCACCATATTCTGCGAGGGCAGATTTAACTACCCCGTACCACAAATTCCGATACAAAATACTCTGTATGACAAGTCCATTGCCAGGCTTATAGAAACAAGAAAAACATGGAAACAAAGCTACTTAAAACAAATTCTGTTGCACGCATAGTCTTCCACCAAAAAATAAAATAAAATAATTCCTCTGGTCACCATCCACATAATGATAGAAGGAGGCACAGAGCTAAGGAAATTGGAGGGCATGTTCAGGGTATGACTAATAACCCAGTTTGGCTAGGACCTAGGGTACATGCAGTGTAAGCTAAGTAGTTCTGTGTTTATGTCCGTTTTATCATCCCAGAGGGGGAGGACACCAGAGCCGACCCATACCTGAGCTCTTCTGTTTCCTATTCTGAATTCCAAGCAGCAGTGGGCAATAATTACTCTCTAGTTCCCTTCACCCGTCTCTTCCTCCCACCCTAAACACACAGTCACACTCCCATACTCTGGAGTCATGTCCTAAATCAACAAACAAAGAGAATCTTCAGCTTTGGATGAGTAAAGATTTGGAATAGAGGATCTCCGTGTGATACCTTAACTGTTCTACCTGCTAGAAGCTAAGCTCATCTTTTCACTTTTCATTTGCTACTTTAACAAAAACCTCCATCACTGCTCTCTCATCTATACAGCCTGCAAACTTAGATTGTGATTGGAAGGTATGTGTTCATCTAAAGTAAAATGTAACAACAGCGAGCAAGTTGAATGTTTCATAATGTGTTCCATGAATAGAAGCTTCAAGCTGGAAGGAACCTTTAAGGCCTTCTAATCCAAGCCCTTTATTTTACAGATGAGGAAACTGAAGCCCAGAGAGGTGAAGTGAGGTGCCCAAGGCCACACAGCAAGTTAGAGGCACAGCTAGTACCATAGCTCAAGTCTCCTGACTCCCAGTCCAGTGCTCCTCCCATTACTCCACGGGTCCTGTCTCTAAGCTTCCTGACAAATGCTAGAACGGTAAACCTCCACTAGTATTTTTCCAGACCATGTTAAAACTCTTAAGGGGGAAAAAAGGATGCTTTCTTGGATAATGTCAGCCATACGTAGCTCAATCTGTCTAAAGTTCTGGGACAGGGTCTTTTTATGCAGCCAACAGAGTCCAAATGTGGTGCTGTTTGCTTGGCCCATATGCTTTCATGTGTTCCCAGTTAGGCCATTACTGGAGGGAAAAAAACAAGAATCAGCTTGTTTTAAAACAAGGGACATACTGGACTCCCTCCCATCCCCCCTCAGAAAAAAAAAAATCAAGTTATCTTTAACAGATTCTAAAAATGCCTTTTCCCAAATATGCAGTCAGTTCCTTCAAAGGGCCCTTTGTTTATTTTCAGGAAGAAACCCAAGACAGCTGAAAACCAGAAGGCATCTGAGGAGAATGAGATTACTCAGCCGGGTGGATCCAGCGCCAAGCCGGGCCTTCCCAGCCTGAACTTTGAAGCTGTTTTGTCTCCAGACCCAGCCCTCATCCACTCAACACATTCACTGACAAACTCTCACGCTCACACCGGGTCATCTGATTGTGAGTACACCAGTAAGGTGATGGTGTCTTCGCGGCGCTGGGAGCGTGCTTCTCCCCTGGGTTCTGGCTTTTTCTTGCGTTCCCAATGAGCCGTTTCCGTGTGGTCTTGTAGAGTAGCCGAAGGGAACTTGCCTCCATCTTGATTCAGCCAACGTCACTGTTTTCAAAGCCAGAGTGTGTTTTAAAACCAGGTGCCCGGCCACTTGGCCTCGAAAGGCTGATTCATTACATGAACCACATTTTCTTTCAAAACATTCACTCAAAAAAAAAAAAAAAAAAAAAGTTGGGTTATTGTTTTCTAATTATTCTTTTGTCCCCGCGATCTGAATAACAGCACTTCCACCATGACTAAACTGAACCACCAAATATGGACCTCGAAAAGCCAGTAGACACAGGAAACATCCATTTTGAAATTACATAATACAAGTCAGCTTTGCATTAATTATTGGAGTCTCATTTGGCTTGGCTGAATTTCCGTCCTTCCAGTTTTTAATTTATTTTGAAGTGGTTAAAGGATAGCATAAATTTACAGAAGAAAAGAGAATGGCTTCCAAGAATTCAGAATCCACCCAGACTTCACGTAGCCAATAAGAATTCAGGTTAAAAATATTTTTTAATTAAAAAAACTGCCTACGGGCTAAATTTGGAAATGGACAGCTTAATGAGATCGTCACCATTGAAATCACTCCATTGCTGTTTATTTTTGCTGTCTTCCCACCAATCTGGGAGTCACTTCTTCAAATTCTATTTTAAGAAAGTTGATAAATCATGTTTTGGAGCTTTTCTCTCTTTGAAGTGTAACCCAATACTTCAAAGAGAAAGGAACATGTGTGGTGACAATGGAAAAGAATGGAATAATTTTGGGGTCCGATCTGAAAAAAATATTCCTTTTGGTCTTAAGGTACCCAACAAGTATTCTGAACTGCCCTCCACACAGGATGTCTAGTAACAGGCAAAGAGCTGGCATGTCCTTCTTTAGGAGGAAGAATAAGACCAAGACAGTCTTGTTTTCAAAAAAGGACTGCATTTATCCTGTCCATGAACACAAGCATTATTAATTAGGAAACGAGAGTCTAAATCTCCTGTTGTTATTTTTCTGACAAAATAAATGTAAAACTCTGCAAAGAGGGCAAGATGTGCCCGTGTCTGGAAGATTCCATTCCCTACTTACTTCATCATCCTAGTGTCATAGGTAAAGGGACAAAACCCAGGGGTTGATGTTGGGGTGAAAGGAGCTTGTTATTCTTGGTGGCTGGGCTGAAACCCTGCTCCAGCTATCGCTAGAAACGAAACGAGAAAGAACGGGATCCAACTCTCTAGAGCCTCTGTGATTTGCACTAAGTTGCTGCTTCTTTAGACAACCCTGAGGATCAGGAGCAAGGACTGTGTTCTGTGGACCCATCATAATAGTAACATCCTTGGCCCTTCTTGCCTGGCAGTCTCCAGCCTAATAGTAATTACAGGAAGAATTGGAAAATAGCATGGCACAGTGCCCGTAGGCATGTGTGCACTGCCCCTACCTACCAGGAAGGTGGCCGGTTCCTGCGGAGAAGGGCCTGGAGCTCCTGCACGCGCACCTTCATCGCCTGGCTTTCTGCCACACCTTATGGGGAAGATTACATAGAATGGCCTTAGCCCAGAAACCCCCTGTTGCAGCAAAATGACTGTTTTGCTGAATAGAGAAGGCACTGGGCTTCACTGATTGTACTTTACCATAAGCATCCTCCAGCCAGGTCTTGGCATTCGCCTGGAATACATGCAAGAAACTGTAGGAGCGTGATAGTTGCCGTACAGCTCAGAAGTGACCCAGAGGGAGCCAGGAGGCTGGAGCTTTCAGTGAGGTATCTGAAAGCTGTTGGAAGGAAAACAGAGAGGGAGGAGACACCTAATCTCCAGCCGCGTAGAAAGTCATTCCGATTTTACCATTAAGATGTGGACATCCTCTCTGTCCTAACCTCTTGTTGAAATCGATTATGCTTTTCTCCAAATCTATTTGGATCGTAGTTTGTCCTGATTTGAGCCTACACTTAGAAGAAAATTGTTTTTAGGAAAGATTCACAGAAATCTGTCCATTTGGAGATTGCTTGAGAGAAGACAGGAAAGAGGTTTATTTTAAGCTGTTAAATTTTTTGGATGCTCTTCTTGCATTCAAGAAGATTTTTTTTTTTTAACTTTCAAATGTCATTCTTACCATAGATTAATTTAAAAGCCTAATTTCTTTAAGGTAAAATATTCTGTTCCTATTTAGAACTAACAGATTTGGGGCATTTAAAAATAGTGCCCTTGACTTGTTAGTCTCTTTAACTTCAGAAACATTCCACCAGTGTGTGGTGTTCCAAGCTTTCACAAGTGCCTGAATTTTTAATAGCACCTTTTTATTTGTTATGTGTTTAGCAAAATTATTCTTAGTCATGCTCTAATGCCCATTTCCTGTCAGTCATTATAATTCTTCCCAATTTACGGATGAGAAAACTGAGAAAATTGACACTTCTGTCAATGAATGACTTGCTCTCGGTAGTTAACTCATTCAGATACTGAGGGATGTTTATGGACTTGCTCTCCCTGTGAGCAGCCTGAATCCTCTGTTCCAAGCCCATAAATGGCATTCTTGAAAATGTGCAACCATCATATTGGTGACTGAGTTCTAAAACACAGTTGATCAGCATCCCCACAAGAGTCAGCTCTGCCTATGAACCAGTGAGAGTGGGTAAGACGTAGTGTTGTCGCATCTGAAGGACGCAGGCCCATGTTTTAGACAAGTCTGACCCCTAAGATTTCAGCTGGCTACTTAACCTGCCCAGCGACTTCAAATTTTGCAAAAGATCCCAGTAATATCCAAACCAAGAAGGACTAGGGTTGAGAAAAGCTTCCCTTGTGAGATGGTGAGGTTAACATCTCCGCGGCGCGCCCACTGACAGTGACCTCTTAGCAACATTCCCCCATGACCTCCTTGTTTGTGGCCTCTTCACCTTTTCTAAAAACCCGGTGGTAATGGACTCCGGTGATGAGAACTCACGGCATTGGGATGAGTTGTGGAAGGCAGAGGGTACAAAAGCCCTAGGTGTTTGACAGACCGGTTCCCCGCTGAGGAACAGGCTGAGGAAGAGCTGAGCCAAGCTCTCTCTGCTCAAACGCGTGAACAGGCCCAACCCAAGTCAGCAGAGCAGATGAAGCCGTCCCTAGCTTGACAACTGCCAAGCTGTGGCACGTCACTGTCGTGTACACGCGACAGACTCGACCAGAGTGACGACTCGCGTGCTTCTTCCACTTTTTTTCCCCCAGATAAGGCCCCGCCGAAGGGAGAAGCAATTCTCCCCGCCATGGCAGTGCTCCCGACTTTTGGCCCTAGACCCACCTATTCTGATGTCGTTGGTGGGAAGCTGATGTCCCTGGTGACTTACCTTCCGGTGTTTCGCGCTGGCCTCAGCAGGCTGTCTCATCTTTTGGGTCCTTGCCAAGAGACACTTATGCGTTAACAGTTTTTATTTATTTTTAATTTAACCTTTACACATTACCAAACTGTTGTGTGGGTGGGTTTAAGTTTAGCTCCGTAGGTAGCATGACTATGCTGGGGCTGAGCACTGTCTGAAGAGACTGCGGGCCCTTCCTTTCCTTCTCTGGCCTTCCACCTTCAGTGGTCTTCCCCCTCCCAGCCCTTCGCTTCTCCCCGCCCCTCCCCGAACTCCCATCACCAGGCCAAGTGCCCGAGATTAAAATTTTTAGTACACTTGGTTCAGTTTGAACTTCTAAGCAATTTTTTTTTTAAGAGAACAAAACAAAGAGGATTTTTTATGGCCAACTTCATTAATGCCACATTAAGGCTGACATTTTAATTACCCCAAAGTCAGGAAATGCAAAGTTCAGGTTCCCACAGCAACAGAAACTGTCCCCTTGAGTGCCCACACCATAGCAGATTCTTTCTTTCCTGATTACACAACACCAGGCATGGGGACATTGTTTGGTCTCCACGTATGTGGACAGGAGCATGGTTTTTACCCTTTGTCTCTCTCCTGTAACTACAGTTGAGGATATGGGTCTTTAGCTTCCCTCCCCAGACCATCTATACATATTATCCTGGAGCAGAAGCCTGTTATGGCCCTACATGTGCACACGGACAGAATTAAAGTTGCCGTGGGAACATTAACTCTGATTTCCGGACTTCCGTGCCAGTCACATTTAAACCATAATGTTGTAATTTTTGGCATGTAATAAATGTGCATTTCATGTACACAGACAGAAAGAAGCATAAAATGTATTTTAAAGAGCAATTAATTACTAACTTTGTGATTAAAAAACATTTGGTGCATGTTCCTTCCCATTTAGCATCAGCTGCTGGTCTTAGCCAGGCCTAATAGATGACATACTGTGTCTCATCCTGTATTTCAGATGTACTTACTGTATGTTCCTGTTCTTCGAGATAATTAATTCCCTTAGTAAAGCTGTAGGGGGAAAACAAAATGGAAGGAATATGCAAGCATGTAAATAGGGTAAAGGATATTTTGAAGGAAATGATTCATTTCTGCAAATAAAACCCTTAGTCCCTGATAAAGAGCCAGAAATCTGCTAAGTGGGTGTAGACAAAGGTTTTTGGCCACCTTAGAGCATCTGGTCCAGGACTATAGGAACAACTTGAAAGCAGATTTCCCCCCTGAATTCCGGGCATGCCCAATGCGGGGGGGCCGGGGGGTGAGTTTACGCTGTAATAATTTTGCAGGCTTCGGGCTTAAGAAGTTATTTTACTCTGTCTCCACTTTTCGGTTTATATCCAAACTGGAAAAGAAACGGTGTTGGGAATTGGGCAAAACATGGGGTTCGCGGCAGAGCCCGATTTAGAGCGTAGTGTTGTCTCTTCCTGGATTTGAATCTGATTGGCCCGTTTGTGTCGGAGAAGGACGTGTTTCAAAATAAACGTCTGAACAAGTTTGTGAGTAAAAGGAGTGGGTAGCGAGATGCTGAAGGTACAAGTGTCTAAAATCACAAACGCTTGGGCGCGCACGGGA